ATGTAAAAATATGTGAACAATTAAAACAAAACCCGAAACACGTACAAATCCCAGGATCAGTCGACAGGGCCGGTCAATACTTTTATTTTTTCTAGTTCAATTTTATCTAAAAAAAATAGCCAGAAAGTAAATGAATAAAATTATTCAAATGCACAGATTGAATGAGTTCATATGAACCCAATCTCTACTCCCTGTATCTTTACTCCAAAGTAGACGTGCGGTCCTACGGTGGCTTAATAGTTGTGCAATTGTACTCGTACTTTTTTCTATATTTTAAGCCAGATTGTTTGACTACAGAACGCCTAACACGATTGGAGAGAGAGAATTTGTATAATAAAAAGTGAGCTATGTAGGCTGGAACCGAACAACTCGAATACATTGTACCCCTTCAACTAAATGCAAATTATTTTAAGTTAATTAAACTCAATGCATTGCAATTCTCTATAGAGATGTAATTCAATTAAATTTTAAAATCGATCCAATTAAATTATAATTTAATATATGAATGCAATTCAATTACACTTCAATTAAAATTAATTAAATTGCAATCCCATATAAGAATGGAATTCAGTTGAACTCAATTATAATATCCTACACGACAAGAGAACACGGCTTTCTAATTGGTTGATCGGTACAACGCTCAGTCCTAGACCAGTTATCAGACGATAACAGGGCAGTGCTTGAGGTGAATGCACGAATATACAAACCAGATGGTGTTTCACTCGGCTATAATGAATATTTTCCCACATTTGTCAGAATTGTTTAAACAACCGACACTCCAATGATTCATTCACGTTAATTTACCCGGTTATTCGCATGTCGTTTACCCGTGTGCGTTCTACGGCTATCTGAAATGCAATCATTCATTGATTTATTCATTTTATCTTTCCATGCTACCACTGTACGTATATTACATTTTAATTGTACGAAATATAACTTAAATAAAAGACTTCGCATTGCCAAGTATTGCCTGATACACATGGCTCTCGGACGTCGCCTCGCCGATTATTACGCACATTAACGTCCATACCCTAGTATCAACAGGTGTGCATCTATTTTGTACATTGTTTAATTGAATTTAGAATGCCAGAATGATTAAATCCATTTTTTTCCAGCCATATTTAATGGACAGGAAAGCTTTTAAACTAAGTAGAATCAACACAATGAATGAATGCACAAAAGTCAAAATAGATGCGTCTTCCATGCAGTCTGATATAGGAATGTAATTTTAATTAGTTGAAACACTTTCCAATTACAATATTTTAAACTCAATAAAATTCTAATTACTTGTGGTATATTTAACGGGTCGAGGCGGTAGCATTAAGGTAAAATGGTATGGTATGTATACAGTATATCAACCTAAAATCTAAACTCAGTGCCAATACACTTATTTTAATAAAATTGACTATAATATTATTGTTTTAATGTACACAAACACGTTTCCTGATCCTGTTCCTAGATTCATTGAAGTATCATCAACCGAATAATTTTTTGAAATAGAATTTCAAAAAAAAAATAAAAAAAAATAGTGCACTGCATAATGTACTGGTCTGACATACGCGGCAACTTTCTACCAAATCAAAATACGCATTGCATAGTGCTCTACCATCATTTACATAGCGATGAAGTTACCACGGGGAGTGGTATTCACGCGAAATCGGTGTGAGTGCCAACGCATGACACAAAAGAAGAAAAATATGTTATAATATTGTTTTTTGTAATTTAAGTTGTAATAACGTTATCGAGAGGTTAAATTACTACTGTTCCAAAATCTGACGTTACATGCGCATGCGCATATTTTAAGATATCAGCTGCAGCAGACGATACCGAATTAATTTAGTAAAGTCCTTTCTCTCTCCCAGGAGGAATAAATCAGCGGACATAAATAAAAAAAAAATTGAAAAATTACAGGAAGGCACGGGTGAAACGCCAGAAAGAAATTAGCCTTGCTCAATTTTCCTTGTTTCCAGTAACCCAAACCTAGACCCTCTGCATAATTTAACAAACATCCTATGTAGAGAATATCAACAATCCTACTAACTCGACCACATTTTTAACTAACATTCACACCTAACAACAAGTGAAGTTAATCAGAATAGTTAGATTTTTCAATATTCATAACAATTAATTACATAAAGTGACATTATATCTTGTGGTTAGAAAAATTTTGTTTCCCCATAATTTTCAATTCATAAATTACTGATGAGCCAAATGACACCAAATGAACACACTTTTGCAGCCATGAAACCAGTTCAAGACAGCTGTAAAATGAATTAAAAAATTATTTCTTTGCATGTTATTATCGTAATTGTATCATGTTTATCCTGACAGCCATCTAATTGGCTGAAACCAGGTACCATATTTGACTGTATAAGACCTGTGATTCTGCCCTGAAACTGAATAATTATATACAATGATCACACAACTGTAAACACTGTTCATGGTGATTGTGGACGCACAATTTACTGAAATCTGGTACAATGCAAATAACATACAAATAGATCGTACACAAGTTGTATTGGAATGTGACTGCATGTTAAACGCACGCATTTGAAAATGAAGTATAAACCAATCCCACGTTTAGAGTACCATCTTTTAATTAGACAACAACATCATAGGCTACCTGATAATACCAAAGTTGCTGGGATGTAGGGCCCGGAGGGATACATATAATTTGCCTAATAGGGACGTACCCCTAAAATGGGTCTCGTTTTTTTTGGATTTTAGGTATAAGTATCTTCTTATTTCTGGTCAAGATAGGTATAAATATCGGTAATATTTTTCCGATTTTTGTATACTTGTTCAACCCCCAAGTTTCGGATCCCTAAGGAGGTTAAGGAGAAAGCGAACTGTTGTTTCTCATTTAACAACCTAAATAACCTGAACATTATGTTAATAATTAATAATAAGTGACAGATGTGTTTCTATGTTCGAAATACATATTTTAATAAATCAATGTACAATACAACTGTTGGCTTACATGTGCTCTATTGGAGATGCTCTTCTAAGAGCAAATACGGTAACTATTTTATTTGGAATAAACAGTAATGACGGAAATAGTACTTTGGTATAAAGATGGGAATATATTTTGCTTCTATCCAGGTATAAAAATGGTCACACTTTTGAGCACTCAGGGGCCCCTCCCTATCCAGCTATGTATCAACTGCCCCCTCCTGGTTTGTGTGGGTGTACAGGGACACTATGGTCCATGGTAACCGATTGAAAACTGTAATTCAAAGACTGCAGCTGGTTGTCATATTCGGGTTGATAATACTGAACAGGTAAACATGGAACATGTCTACATACTCAAATCTGGTTGTTATCGACAACATTAGCTGATGCTGGCTATTAATACCGATTTAATTATTCCACTATGAGACTATTGCTCTAAGACATATGTACGTCATATGAAGAAAAGTGTGGTACCACCCAAGTATAGGGTGAGGGAGACGAGTATGACACTATAGCGTATACAGCCAGCATTTACTATTAAGCGAATGATGTGTTCCTTGAATAGCATAACGTTGAGTCGATGCATAACGCATAACGATGTTTCAGTGGTTATCATGTTTTGTTGATTACTATAAGTGTTGTAACTTATTTTTGTCGTTTCATTTCGATCTTGTTGTTTTGGTTTGTGATGATTGTGCCATCTCTAAGCACTACAGGTGATTAAAACTGATATATTCTAATTGCATTAATCCCTATTTTCAGATCGTATGTATAGCGCATTATGTTGTACGCGGATCGTGCTTATATATGTCATGAGTTGTGCTATATGTTGGGGTTCTACCTGTCTTCGTTGAGCTCGATTACAACGTGTATTGCTATAGCCTGGATGATATATATTGGAGAATAAATAGGGTTTGTAGAAATTCACCACACATGTATGAGGAGATACAAAAAATACATATTGAGCTCAGACGAGCAATTTAAGCGAAAATTTAATACATATTTAATTTACCACAACGATAAGTACGTCTTCTCTTCACGGTGCTGTGCCACAGTGAATAGATCACCCAATTTGTAGCAACTTCCTAACAGTATAGCTAATAATGCGAATGATCGTATGATAATAAATAACATGTTCTGAATTTGTGGATTATAGAATGAATACAAAATAGTTGATATCATTAAAAAATACAAGAGAGAACAAATTAAAAAACTGTTTACTAAATAATTATCTCACTCACAATACTGTTTGAATGTTTACCATTCCCTACGAAGTTAATGTTCAGTATAATGTAACTGCGAACAATATAAGTCACTGGGAATGACTACATGGAAATGAGGACTAGATAACCAATCAACATAATGGAATTTGTACGCAGATATCGGACTTCCTTACAATCGGTGCGAATAGATATTTACCAAAAGGTGTCCACCTACTTATGAATCTGTAAACATATGGGGTAGTTGATTTCAAAGGATCTGGGACTTTGCCACGCAGCGTGACCTAGGTGGCTAACTATCCGAATTCGCTATTGTTGGGTGTACTTCCTTTAGTTCTGCTTACTTTTTCTGAACCCATTGCGATTGTTTATATGCTAACGACATAATTTGAACGTACACACCAAGTCGATTGGGTTCCGTAGGAACAGTACTCATGAAAAATAGATTCGTTGTAATCTTTTCGCAACCACGCAAATGTTCGAATAATGTGGTATTTTAAAAGGTATTATTATTATTATGCTATGAATTTCAGTACAGGTCTGTTCATTAATAGGTGGGCCATAGTATTTACAGCTAGAAGTGATATTTAAAGTTTGGCAGTGTTACTATGAAGCTCATAACAGTGACAGAAAATAGTGACTATATGACTGCTATTCATTACTTTTGTTGGGCGCCAGCGTCCTCACAAACCAATCAGAATGCAGTATATTGTTTCGAGTCCCCTCGGTATTGTGCTACACTACTGGGAACCTGAAAATTCTGTTAACAGCTTCGCTTAAACATATATTTGAATTTGTATGACCTGTGTACAACAGACGGTAGCTTATCTAAATGGCCGTGCTGAATTCTTCCACAGATTCCGATTCTCCCGATGGTCGTTCTTCGTTTTCTTTTGGAGGAAAGCCAAATGCAATGCAGAGGGCTTGGATATGTTGTGTGTTGCCGAGATTAAATATGAATGGACACATCATAAAATGCATGATAAATGGAAACCCAAAATAATTTACAAAACAGAAGAGTAGTACCTCACCATTCACAAAATGGTAGTGTCCGGTTAGTTTAGAATATAATCCGATGACGAAATAGCTAGACAGTGGTAAGATGCAGATAACGAACGTGATGACCAACGCAGAGCAGAGACGCGTGTCGAGGGGTTGCTTGTCGCCTGAACGTCGTCTTAACTGTCTCCGAGTTTTCTTTGTATTATACACAGTCATCATATGGAGTAGACATAATATGACCACTGGCACTATGGTAAGAATGCAAAGAAACACTAGTCTCCCAACTTTCCAATCATCAGTAAAAGTATGTACGTCACAAAATGCAACTGTACATCCAATACTCAGTCCAAGAAACCATACACCGAAAGTTACCGAAGAACTGCAATAACCTTTTCTGTCATGAGCCGATAGACTACTTGTTTGGCAGCTTATCCAAAATCTCTTGATACTGACCACTAAAACAAAAAAGGTCAAAGTACAGATCGCAGTCCAAAATGCGATATAATTGAGTAGATGCAGGATATTCAGGGTTTGCTCTGTTTCCAAAGCACCTTCTTCGTAGAAGCTGCTTGCTATTTCCATGATAGCATTCACAGATAGAAATAACAAATCAGAGGCAGACACGTTAACGAGATAGAAATTCGTTTCTGTTCTCATCGCTTCGACCCGGTACATCACAAACAGAAAAACGGAATTCGCCACTGTTCCAATAGCCAATACAATGAACAGTATCTTCCTATAATCTGTTGGTTTCACGCCACAACCTTCGCCGTTGTCCCACATATAGGGAAAAGTGTAATTCGACGTAACGTTCCACAAAGTATATTCCATGATAGGCAAGACCAAAATGGTATTATAATGACGGCTTTTTAGTCTGAAACAAAAAACATTATAAAATTATTGATAATTCAATACATGTAACAGATAAACATAACATCACATTTGTGACGTGACGTGGCGTGACGTATAAAAAGATTTGTAAATATAAATTAAATCAAAGAAAGCCTAGAAAGAACACCCGTGTGCTGAGATTATCCGAGGCATGACATACAAATAAATAATACTGTATTTATTATATTAGCAGCAAATAAACATACAATCATAAACCGAACATTTTAATTATTGCATGTTAAATCATTAAAATATGTTTTGTTTTGATCATAGACTTGTCTTGAGCCGGTCGTAATAGAGCAAATATAGCATTTGAAAATATAACTGTAAGCAGTGCTTAGGGTGATTCTAATTGGCTATGATATAACAATTATACATATTAAATATAATCATGACATTGACTTTATATTTTGTTCATATATCTTTTCTGACAACACACTTATAACAGTAGTTGCATATCCTTATCTACAACACTACTTAAGATATTATAGTTATTATTATGCATATTTGTGGTCACATTCCCATATATGATCATCTGATGTTAGTAATATCTCGACTGATGCCTTCAATATAGTATTAAATACATATGCCTGATTGTAACAGTGTCTGATAAATTACAGTTATTATTCAAGTTACATGACCATATATGGTTATTCGATATGTTGTCAAATGTCCCCATTATAGCAATAGTTGAATATCCCTATCTGCAACTCATTTAAACACATTGGGTGATTAGTATGCATAGATTAGATCTATGGATTATACAAAAGAACCAATGTATCAAGTTTCATTGAAATTTGATGAGTGATACTCAATATATCGGTTGAACAAACAGTTGAATCAACACGACAGGGGAATCTATAAAGCGCAGGAGGAATCATTCTTCCAAGTCATTAAAAGACATGTGAAGATACGTGGTCATCGACCTGTCGATGTATTCATGGCCAAATCATTATGTTGGCTTAAGGTAGAAGCCTACTCATAAATTAAAAAACCCAGAATTTATTTATTTTTCAATAAATTGTACTCCAAGACATTATAAGGATATTGACCTAAAAAAAGTTGGGGGTCACCAGGCTTTTGTTCGAGAAATTGATGGTTGTATTTTAATGGAAAGTCGCCATTTTGACACTATAATAACACTTTTACCACAGGTTCCTATGGCAGAGATATTATGCAATATCTCAAAATCTAGCCTGGTGACATAGGCTGAAAAAATTATATTTTGTTAATGATGGAGTACTTGTTGTTGTTCTGAATTATTTAAAAAATCTCGGTTTTAAAAAGTGTCAAAAAAGCAATTTTTCTTTAACATTGTGTTTTATGGAATTGTTCTAAAAATAGCAATTTTCAAGAAATATTAGGACACATTTCTCAAAAAGCATAAATGTAACACACAAAATAATGCTATTTCATTGTACCATATGACATTAGCTTCATGATTGTACATAATAAACTAATGAACATTGTCAATTTATGACCAATTTTGTCCAAAATCATGACTAGGCTTCTACCTTAAACGAGACACTATCTCGGAATTACTTCCTAAAATAGCAATTGTAGTTGTACACTGCCCGACACCTTACTCCCGAACATTCACCCTTGATGAAAAATTAGTTAGGAAAAATTATAAAATCTGCCGTTTCCGAATTGCGCATGCACATCTTAGTCACTGTAAGTTTGTGCTCATTATCATCTAATTGCTTATGGAAACAAATATGCGTAACCACAACAGTTTTACTTGTTTTTCATATTTACTGCTTGCGTCTTCTCGTATATTGCCTTCGTCAGACTGCAATGGGTCAGTTTCAAAAAAGTGGTTTAAACAATAAAACAATTAGAATTAAATTTCTGTGAAACCACCAGCGTTCTCAATCTTCACTTTTTGTAATTAGTTCTGACGTACGAACATTGGATTAGTAAGCTCGTATTTAACCTTCAATATTAACTATTCGATCTCTTTATATATGTTTCCATGGAGACAACCATACTTTAGGTGTCCGTATAATGAGCAGCTGCTTACACGACACTTTTGTGTACGTAACAAGGAAAGGTACAACAAAGACGGCTATTAATTAGCACAGATCCTGTCGGGCACATTGTGTATTGCAAAAGGTATGATGAATGAATGACATCAATGACATGTCATGACAGAGCATAATGGTCACCGGTAGTCTTTGCAAATATCGACTATAGGTTGATGACATCATGAAGGTAACAAAGGCCTCCATGAAAAAACCTAACACAAGTAGAATACTACCTTCGAAGTGTTTCACAGTGTATCACGTTTCTAACATAAAATATGCATGTGCCTGAATCACAAACAAATATTATTTCTAAAATTATATATTATTTCCATATCTAAAATCAAGAGCTTTTAAATTTCAATATACATAATGTAAACATGTGCGCCATGGAATCAACCATTTTTCACTTCAGACGACTGCGCGCTTCTATTCAAAATATGTATACTGTGAACAAATGGCCAGTGACGATTATTACTAAAAAGACAACAAAAGCATGGAAAAATCGATCGATTTATTACTTCTCTGAACTGAAATATTCTCCAGTTTCGAAAGCGAAGTGACGACATTTCAAAGTTGTGGGGTTGAAATCACACTGCACGTTTCACATACTTTTGATTAAAATTGATTTGTTTGTACCTTCCCGAAGATTATTTGCAGCCGAAAAGTGGGCACAACATTTGTTCAGTCTCTAACAATTTTGTGACCAACAACATGACTAAATTCATTATATGAAGAGAGTGAAAAATAATCAAAAATGACAAATGCTACATATGACAAAGATCTCGTTTACCGCCTTTTACATAATAGTGACCTTTTACACCGTGTATGCAAATTAGTTTATGTCTTAATTGTTTGTGTTGGAAGTACGTATTGAATTCAATGAGAGATAGATTAGGAAACAGTTTAACGCATATCTGGTCAAGGCAATGTGACCTTACATGAAATTAACAGGATAAGGGTTTGATGATGTAATATATATTGCGACACATTATCTTTTTGAGAGTAATGGAGTGTATATTATCCTGATTAGTAGCATTTGATTCTGCGTCACGCGTAGATTTTTTTCTTATTACGAGACAGTTATGTAGACCGTTATGTAAGACATTTCCAGCGACATAACGATTCCGTTATGGGTTTGTTCAGTAATTCTCATTACATTTTTCAGAAGACTCGTTAAATAAACCTAATATGTTTTGTTTTCTATATTCACTCATTGATGATGATTGTAATCTCAATGGAAATTGTATTTGGAACAACGACTTTAAGTTTCAGATATACAAAATGATATACAGAGATATTGAGTGGCTTACCCAGTGCAAATAAGTAGCAGTCAATGGATAGCCCTTGTGCGACAACAGGTTCGTTCGCATCAATTCATCGGTCGATGAGTATTCCTATGTACGGCTTTAACAGTATAATGTAGCTGCATGAACTACTACGAGTTCGCTCAGAAAGGCAATGGTGTCGCGGACGTTATATAATTTGCATAACTGTTCATAATAAAATTCAATGAGATGGTAATGATATACATCCATTCTTAGTCATCTATTGAAAATTAGTGATTCCAATATACATAGACGTTGTCATGGATACTACTGATGAAATACCAGTGATGTTGATTAATATGAAATTCTACAACTTGCAATGTACATTTGATCTAAAGTATATCTGTATAACTAGACGAACACAAATGAGCGATACTAGATCAATTATTTAAAGGACGGCAGACGTCGTACAACGCGCACGAATTTCCGGTAAACAAATCAATTTTACACGCGTTGTATGAGACTAGTATCAAACCGGAGGCTCATTAATTGCCATTTCCACCAACAATTGTTAAGCTTTGCTTACCTTGAATAAGCGGCAAAAGTCCCGCCGGCTCACAACGTCTGCGTCTTGTCCGAATGAGTTAATTAGCTTCGTATCTTGTCATTACACTTATTGAATTCACAATGGTATTTGTATCATGCGTGTCTGATATAATAGACAGTGTTAGTATATTATCTGCTATTATCAAAGTGTATAGCATGAAGTACATATTACCATGGATACCATAATTTTATCGTTGATGCAATGGAGAGCAAATCCACAATGTCCCAGTAGCAAATAGTAGTATCCCTGATAATATAAACGACATTCAATTATAAGCCATAATTATTGAGGAGTATATTTTATTGATTATAAATTTGCGCTAAGTAAACTTGACACAACGATGACGTCATGTTAATAATATTGACACGCATCTCATTTAGTTGTTTTAAGATCATTTTTGTGTGAGTAAACACATGTCATCGCGTTATACATGATTTGTCCATTTCATGTTCGTGTTAATTCACCAATTGTAAACTAATTAATTACCTACGTAGTCATATTATACATATATACGTTCAGTCCCTATAAAGCAGTTTGTTTACTCTGCGTCGATTGATTGCTCTAGAGACGCCAACATCGACATAGAAAATACACACCCCGTATGTGTCAATATTAGCTATACTTTCTTCCTAGTTTGGGATAGCACTGCGCCAATTGCGATTACTGTGTAGTAACAACATTTCCGACTGAGATTGAAAACTAAAGTGTACAGTATACTACTAACAATTTTATTGTATCGTAATTCATTATTCAACTGTACTATATGAAACGATGTTGTTTTACCATTTTGCGTAATTTTGTGATAGATGAGCGCCCATTGCACCATGTGAATGTATCAGATTGTTTATGCTTGTTTGTATGCTTTAACCAGGATATTATTGCATGTTAATTAGATTCACATATAGATCTTCCACAAACTGTTTCCTGTTTTGGTCAGGCCTAGGTTGTATATACGTCGTCATCAAATCGTGGCAATGTCCTCGTAGGACGATG